CAAATGTTGCAACTATGTTGCAACATATGTTATAACAGTGGTATGTTGCAACATATTCATAAAGGCTACCATCTTTATTCCATAACCTAATATCATAGAAATCATTATCCAAAAAGGACTTATAATATTTTTTCATAATGATCTTCTTAAGATCAATAATACGTTCATTTTTTTCTATTTCTATCTCGAAAAAGCCACAAGTACCTAAACTTCTAATGACGCCGTGAAGAGTAATTTTGGTCATTTCTTCATACATAGAGCATATTAAAATTATGATCATGTCTTGATAAAGAAATACATTGCTAAGATTAACTAGACCTACCTCGATTAATTGCCAAATTTGCCATTTGTTGATTTACTCTCATCAATGGCGAATCGATAATAACATGAATATATTCTACTTTCAGAAGTTTCTCACCATTCCAATAATTGCTAATAATTTTTCTGAGTTTCTTTGCATATCTCTCTTCATCTTCTTGTCATTCAAGGCTTGAAAATCCATTTTCATCATTATTAGGAATTTGTACCTTCCATAGCATTAAGTCATCAGCCTTAATATCGAAAAAAATATTATTTTTCTGTTTGATAACTTCATAGACTTTATCTTTAAGAGAATCAACGTAATTGCTAGAGTTAATTTCAATATCAAATTTCTCAGCGAGACTGGAACATCCAAAAATTTCTTCAAAGTCTCGAATGAGATGACAAGTGGGCTTAATGTCCTTCATATCTCTATAAGGATTACCTATGATTAATAAAAGTCACGTATTTATAATTCAATTTTTCAATTTCACCTTTTTTCACAACAAACCTATTATACGCCAAAAAAAAATGTCAATTATTGCGCCTAATAAAAAAACATCATTCATATGAAAGTTGATTTCGATCATTTGGCTAAAGGCAGATCTGAATCGAGAAAGATCAAAGTGATCAATCCAAATCGCGGAAATAATATTAACCAATTTTTTCCATCTAAAGCAATTATAATGACCTTAAGTCCATCTAATAATAACAAAATTTACCGTTTATTTCTTGTAAAATGAATAATATTGCCTACCCCTATTTCACAAAAAATCAGAATATTTGTTCATCATGAATCGAAATCTGTAGATGATGAATTGCACATGTATCACTAATTCCAATTCAAAAACGGATTAATATCTGAGTAACCTGTACACGTAATTTGATAATAAAAAGTTACCGTTCATCTGGGAGATCTGCAATCATAGATTCTAATTGCTCTATTTCCATTTTTGAATTTCTTTTTAACAACGCCTGTCTTACGATCTGCATGTAAATCAGGATGTGTTTTTTTATTAGTAATTCAAAACTGTGTAATTAGTGAGATAAAACATACCAGAACTCTGGAGAAAGCTTATCAGTATGTCAACACAAAAATATTGCTCTTGGCCGGGATTATTAATAGATCCTTTAAAAATAATGATTGCGGATGCTGGTGACATACTACTGCGCATTGAATATTCTGCAGATCTGCATAGCAGTGTAATACTGCGAAGAAGTATAAATGATGTTTTATTGTGCATGATATCTAAGTCACTCACGTAATTCAAAAAAAGAAATAACCTATACAATAATTTCGTCTATACGAATATACAATTCATCCAATAATTCTCTTAGACGGTTACCAGTGAGATAATAGGACTTATCATTAGGGAGGTTTTCCTTTCATATCTTCTATCACGATAATAATAACCTCTATCACGTTTATCATATTCATTATATCCACCGTATCCATTATATCCACCGTATTCATTATATCTATCATCATCAGAATCATCCGGTATCTCTTCTTTAGGATCGCTAGAATTGGAGTCATTATCTGATTTAATTTCGTTCGATTCTCCCCTTTTCTTGAGAAATTACTTGTATTTTAGCTCGACCAGTTCTTTGAGAGGAGACTAGTATGGATATCTGCTCTTTGTTAAACCATATCCATCTTTAAAACGCCGACGACCCTTATCTTTTTTCGTTCTATCTATCAAGAGCTTTAGTAATTCTGGGGTATGTTGGCTGAGTTCTTCATTACTCATATCTTTACTGAGTTTGCGATCTGTAACATATTTTGTTATCCCTTAGATTGTAGAGTTTCGCAGGCAAATTTGCCTGCTTATTTACTATAAATTCTCTTCTGATTTACTTTTA